GTTCTTAAGTGCTTCCTCCCCCCACTATCATGATCCCAATTCTACCTTCCAAATCTGGCTAGACCAGAGGATGTACACTGGTACAGATAGGAACCAGAAACACAAGGGAATCCAGGGTGGATGATCCCTTCAGGACCAGTGGTGAGAGTGGCGATACCTGGAAGGTAGAGGGAAGGTAGCGTAGAAAGGGGGAACCGATCACAAGGATCTACATATAACCTCCTCCCTGGGGGATGTACAACAGAAAAGCGGGTGAGGGGAGACATTGACAGTGTAACATATGACAAAATAATAATTTATAAATTATCAAGGGTTCATGGTGGAGGGGGGAATGGGGAGGGAGGGGGAAATGAGGAGCTGATAACAAGGGCTCAGGTAGAAAGCAAATGTTTTGAGAATGATGATGGCAATACATGCATAAATGTGCTTGACACAGTGGCTGTATGTGTGGATTGTGATAAGAATTGTACAAGGCCCCATTAAATGATTAAGAAAAAGAATTATGTGCAATAAAATTGTATAAAAAAAAGAAAGAGTAGAAAATGGCTTAAGAATCAGAATGCTATTGTTTCAGTTTTGTGATAAAGATTCTATAAGCATGTGTGAAGGGTGTATGTGTGTGCGCGCACACTGGAGCTCACGAGAAAAGGGATGGTGTTTGAATGTGAATGGACCAAGGAAGGCTGAAATAAATCCCATGATTCCAGCCGTTTTTCTTGGGGAATGGTGCTGTGTTCCATCTCTTGTTTTACTTGATATACTTCAATATTGTTTTCATTTTTCACAGATAGATGATTACACACACACACACACACACACACACACACACACACACGCCCAGAAATTGACGTTCTCTCTAAGATGTCTGAAGAGCTCATTGAGATTTTAGCTCCATTTGCTGCCCCTGCATTTGGTTTCGATTTCCTGGTTCCCGGAAAAACCACAAAACCCACCTGACTCTTTTGGGCCCCCGGCAGAGGTTCGGTAGACGTTGGGTTGTTGGGAAATGGGTTGTTTCAGGAGCAGCCCTCGCTTCACGCAGATTCCAAGTTATCACTCTTTTGGGAATGTTGGTTAGCTTTCTAGCTCGGGAGTTTACCAACTTTCTCTCTAAAGGGACTTTGGGGACCATCTGGTCTCTGTCACAACTCCTCAGCTCTGCCGCCGTAGTGGGAAAGCAACCCGCGAAAACATGTAGACAAATGGCTATGGCCGTATGCCAATAAAACTTTATTTATAAAGACAGGCAGCAGGCTGGATTTGGCCTGGGTCTGTAGTCTATGTGTTCCATGATTGCGGGTGAGGCGGGTGTGTTGGGGTGGGGTGGGCAGGGAGGGGGTTGCATTGAGGAACAGGTGATATGCTTTGTTTCCAAGACCATGTTCTCCTGGTGTCCTGAGGGCTTTACATGTTTTGCAAAGGTCAGAGTGCTGCGTGCTGTGTGATAAGTTTACTTTGGAAAAGTTGGGGTGTCCATCCAGTTTCTGGGAGAGTCACAAGTGTTGGGACCCCTCATTCTTGGCCACTTGCCACTGTCGTTTGGTGCTGCGAAGACTATTTGGACACAGAGTGACCTCATGTGGCTGAGCAGGGCGGCCTCCTCCAGTTTTTGAAGCTCTAAGCTTTATGGGGACAGATTGCCAGGCCTTTTCAGGAAACAGCTAGCTGGGGTCTGACTGCCAACCTTTTAGTTGGCAGCCAAGTGGTACTGGTGTACCACCCAAACAAATCCAAACTCACTGCCGCTGAGGTGATTCCAACTCATGGGGACTCCATAGGAATGAAAAGAACTGTCCCCCCATATTTCAGAGACTGTCAACTTTATGAGGCAGAAAATCTCATCTCTTTTTCCCCTACAGAGCAATTTGTGGAATTGAACTGCTGACCGTGTGGTTAATAGCCCAACCCATAACCCACTATGCCACCAAGGTTCCTTGTTCATAATTAATGAGGCTTGTCTTATTCTATAATCCTAAGAGATTTAGACGCTCTTGTCAGCCTTATGAACAAGGCTTCCAGTTTTTGCTTGCTTGCTTAATTTCATCCCCAGTGAAGGCAAGGGACAAGGAATTCCCAGCCCATTGGGAGTGTTCAGTCCCATTCCAAAGTCCATCTTCTCAACTTCCATGTGTCCCCAGCAATGTCTTCAGGACAGTGCAAGAGACCCGTGGCCTGCACAGGGCCCACCTCGCTGTGCTGTCGTTGTTGGCGGCATGCCTTACCCATGACCTGGTATCTCAAGCTTCGTGAACTTACAACTGTCCTAAACCTGCCGTGGTTCTTTAATGCTACTTTTCACTCATTCCCCATAAGGAAGGAAACCTTCCCACCTAATAGGACAGCTCTTTAAGACTCCTACCCTCAGAGGGACCCCTGCTTCTCAACTGGGTTATAACTCCTACTGACACTATTTCCCAAGACTTTAGGAACTGGGCAGGGTGATTACTTTTTCTTCACAGCTCACCTCTAGGCTACCTCAATCATCCACGTCCTTAGCAGCCAACACCGACACTGTGTCCTGGAGTTCTTCTGCCTTTCTCTTACTTCCAGGGGTGTGCCTTATGGCCCAAAGCTAAGGAAGAGGGTGAAAGCAGTGTTGGTGACACAAAGGTCAGCTGCTTCGCTGAGAACCAAAGGATTGGTGGTTGGAACCCAGGGCAAAAAGAGCTGGTGATTTGCTTCTCTAAAATGACAGCCAAGGAAACGCTATGGGGCAATTCTACTCTGTCCCCCATGTGCTCGAGGGTCAGCAGTAACTCAGGTGGATTCCCGAAGAAGGGAACGTCCCTAGGTGGTGTCAATGGCCAATGTGCTTGGTGGCTAACCAAAAGGTTGGTGGCTCAAGCCCATCCAGAGGTGCCTGGGAAGAAGAAAGGTCTGATCATCTATTTCTGGAAAAATTAGCCATGGAAAGTCCCATGATGCAGCCCGTGTTAGCTAAAAATGGTAAATAATAAAACCCAAATCTGAAGGAGGGAATGGCACCAGAGCTTACATTGTGAACACCTGGTTTGCAGAAGGCTATGAATGGCAGTGAAAGCCCAAAATTCATTTGCAGGGTCTCCGCATGGATGAAAACTCTGGTGAATCCCTTCTGACCATAGTTGACAGATGTGAATAGCCTTGCTGTCGGGTAGAGAGCATTCTAAAATTGATTATGACAGACATAGTAAGCTCCACATGTGATATCCTATCATTTGATCTTCCTTTTGGTCTATTTTAAAGTTGTTCTACTTGTAAATTTTTTTCCGTTTTGATTGAGGTTTTCCTGTTTTACTTTGTTATTGTTGTCAGGCTCCCCCACCCCACTCCCGGTGTTTCTGTCTATGAAATTTAGAAGAGGTAAATCTAGAGAGACTGTAACTGGATTAATGGTTCCTTGGGGGTCTGGCAGGGGAGACTGGGGGAAACAAGAGAGCTCATATGATGAGTACAAGAATGAAGAAAATGTTCTGAAACTGATTGTGGTGATGATTGTACAACTCTTCTTTTTTTTAAGTCATTTTATGAGGAGCTCATACAACTCTTCTCAATGTGACTGAACTATTGAATTGGATAATATGTGAACTATATGCCATTAAAAGTGTTCAAGAAAGAAAATACTATGATGCACAGTTCTACTCTGCCCCTCGTGGCACTGCTATGAGCAGGAATCAGCTCCACAGCTAATGGTTTAGATGGAGAGGAAACGCAAACTTTATTTGATAGCTGTCGTATATACTCGAGTATAAGTCAGCCTGGATATCCTCTGAGACATCTAATTTTACCACAAAAACTGCAATAAAAATGTTCGAAACACTCGACTTATACTCAAGTATATACGGTATTTCAAATGACTTTGAGAACGAAGGTGTGCCTGAGTCTAGCCTTGGTATTTTCCCTTGCTGCATATGCACGTGAAAGTTGGACTTTGAATAAGGAAGACCAAAGAAGAATGGATGCACTTGAATTGTGGTGCTGGCGAAGAATATTGAAAGTACCATGGACTGCTAAAAGGGCAAACCCATCTGTCTCGGATGAAGTATGGCCAGAGTGCTCCTTAGAGGCAAGGATGGCGAGACTTCCTCTCGTACACTGGGCATGTGATCAGGAGAGATCAGTCCCGGGGAAGGACATCTTCTCCAGACAAAACCCAACCAACCAAACAGGAAGGCCCTCAACAAATGCATGGGCTGCAACCATGGGCTCGGGCATCGGAGTAATTGTGAGGATGTCTCAGTGTTCCATCCATTGTGCCTAGGGGCGCTATGGGTCAAAACCAACTCAATGACACCAGCCAGCATGCAAATTCTTGGCCCCCATATTATTTCCCCCCCGTTTATCCTGCTCAGTAACCTGTTGATGGGGAAACTCTCATCTGTACAAACAACTTACAGGCCCCGGAGAGAGGGAGTCCTTAAAACTCGGCCTGTGGCACAGAGTTAGAGAAAGTTGTGTCAATGACTTCAAAAGCCAGCGCTTGAATGCTTATCTTTACCCTTGATCCAGTGAGTAAGAGGAGATGGATCAGAAAGAAAGAACATGGTTTTGTCTTTGTACACGATCCTAGATATACAAGTAGCGAATCCATTTTTACCAGCACACACACATGCATTCACAAAGCAAACTGTCTTCCAGGGATAATCTGGTGGTTTGTTTGTTCGTTTCCCCACGAAACAACCTGGACTCCCAGAAGGACCTACCCCAAACTAAGGCCATCTTAGGAACCTTGATGGCACAGTGATTAAGTTCCGGGCTGCTGGCCGGTAGGTGGCTTCAGGGGAGAGGTCAGCTCCCATAAAGTGCCTAGGAAACCTATGGGGGCAGCTCTCCAATGTGCTGTCGGCTTGGAGTGAAGCAGCATGCCCTCTCAGGTATGCGACCACCGCCAGGCTGTCATCCCACTTCCATGCCTGGCTGCCCAGAGAAAACGGGAGACTTGAGAAAAGAGAAGCGTGTGCTTGTCTGGAAGGCCACAGTGTCTAGTGGCTGTAAACCTTGGACTCAGGAAATCATGCCGAGCCTGTCACTTAAACTTTATTTCATAACTATTGTTAAATTACACAAAATTCAGCGAAGGATTTGTAAAGTTACACCATTGGACAGATGTTTACAGTTGAAACCATGATGGTGACAAAATGTATATTTATAACATCCCTTATATACAATAATCAATATAGACAGAGAGAATGCACTTAATATCTGCAAAACCATGCACACCACAGCAATAACACAAAATGGTTTTTGTTGTTTTTATTTCCTGGAACAAGCGTTTCCACTGGCTCGGGCTTCGTCCAGTTCTCCAACCATTTCAAGAACAAACATTTTCGCTCGAAACAAAACAAAATTGATATACCATAATGATATACAGAATCTTTATTTTTAGAAACACACTGTACACAAAAGAGTTCACTCGAAAACACTTGAACTTCAAGGTATGATTTAAAATAATGATAATTAAAGAAAACTTTCTCTTTCTCTTTTAAAATTTCCTTCTAGCTTTTCAACGTTCCAAATTCCCAGGACTGCAGCGCTGTCAGAACCGACATAATTGAGCTAGATTGATACCAGCGCCGAGTCCAGGGCATCGCCTTTCCATCTAACTTCTCAGTTTCTGGTCTAACTGGTGGCTATCTTCATACAGACAAAACTAGATCATGCAAATGAGCAGACTGTACCAGACGCGACTTCACGGTCATAGCTCAAAGCATGTGTCTCCTGAGAGCAGAAGTGCCACTTCCAGTCGCCTTGTTTGATTGACTGCTGAGGGGGTGGGGCATCAGTGTAAGTCCTTAACAGAAGTGCAGTCAACTCTACAAAATGGAAACTCCCCAATGCTAGATAGCACAATAATCTACTTTCATTTGATCTTGCTCAAGTCAGAGTTGAGAACATCAAAGTATTTCTGCATTGACTTACACTAGCAATCACTCTCCATTCATCTGCTCTTGCTGTATAACCTCACTCTAGCACATTCTTTCCTTTTGCCCCTCCGGCACACAAAATCTGTTTGAAGGCCTAACGCAAAATACTGACATCCAGCTTTTGGCGTTACTGAAGAAGTGCTGGCTGTCCTAATGCACATTCTACCGTTTTGCTCTTGTAATTGTCTACATGAAAAGGAACTATGGGGCTCGAACTAGCCGGCCCAACTGGAAGTCTTACAATAAAGATGTACAAAAAAGAAAAGAACAGGTCACGTTCAGAGTGAATCAGGATAAACTCAGCAATCCTTTGACACGGTTTCCTGTTCCAGAGTGTCTTGACAAGGACCTCACTACACAAACACTGATGAGACAATTCTAGAGAAAGCAATTCCCGACTTTAATCCAGGACTACATACCACCAGAAATTCAGCAACACACCAGTCAGATGATGAAGGGCAGGGTCTAGAAATGGGTTATTTTGGAATGAGCACAAATTGGAGAAGCCTTAAAATGAATGAGAAACAGCGCCCAAAATATAGCAAAATTGTTGAAATTTACAGTGCCCTGAAAGTGTCCGGAAATTAGCTCTAATATTGGTTATTCCATTTAGGGGGGGAAATATGTACTTTGTTTAACATGAGATACACCCTGTTTAAAACCTTTGACTAGCAGAAGGTAGAAAAAGTTGAAAATTTCAAATATCTCACAATTAACAAGATAGAAGTCCTGTTCTATTTGAAAAGCCAATATTTTCACATACAACCACCCAGAGGAGGGAGAGAACTTGTTTCGGGTTTAGTAAAAGTTGCCATCGGCTGTTATTCTGCTTAAATAGATTCCGAGTTAAAAAAAACCAAAACATCGGAAGCAAAGGAATGCTTTGGCGCTCCCTTTCCTGGCTCGCATGCGCCTTTGCTTCCAAGATCGGGTTGGAACAGCCAGCGTATCCTGAAGCCTTTCCAGTCTATGTGTCAATGAAACGGTCACATTTTTTAAGTTTTCCATTTTGTCTCTGAAGCTAATTTCAGAGTTGTCTAAAATTGCTAAACAGCAATTTCTGGCGAGTCTGGTTTAGCTTTGAGATTTTCTAAATAGTCCCTGAAACTAAGAGAGTAAAAGAAAAAAGACAATTTCATTACATACTGAGATTGGTTTTACCCACGCACAGTCTAACATGTAACCGAAAGGCAACTGTAAAGGTAATATCTTAACTTTTTTTTTTCTTTTGGTCACTTCCCAGATTAAGGAAGCAGGATGTGTTTTGGACACTCTCATCTTTTAAGACGTGCCATCTTGTTAGTGGCGCTTTGGGAGCAGTGGGCAGACGCCTTGCGGGGCCACTTAGCGCCATTTCTCTACACTGCCTAGGTAATCATGGGTGCCGTTGCTGGCATTGCCCTCGCTGGCCTCGGGGCCTGCGCTCTCCTTCTGGCTTTCCTTCTGACTCGAGCTCTGAGTCCGATTCTGAATCAGAGTCTGAGTCAGGTTCTGCCTGGGATGCGGATTGGGGTTCGGATTGGGATTCTGACTCTGACTCCGATTCTGATTCTGACCCTGACCCTGACTCTGGTAATGGGTCTGCAGGAACCTTCCCTTCAGAAATTTCCGTTGTTCCTGACGCTTCCGCCTGGCCTCCTGATGCTCTTTCTGCCTCATAAACTGATACCTTTGCAGAAAGAGGTCTTTCGCATAGCTGTACAATTCCATATCCAGAAAATTCAGTCCCTCGATACGCTTTTGGATTTCCTCATTGATCTCCACACTTGAGGCCCTTGTGGTGTTATATTGGGTAAAGGGCGAAATGAAGTTCATGTTGAAGGTCTTCTCAAACAGATACTGGGTCTTCCGCTGAAACTCAGTGAGGCCGAAGAACGCCATGTGCTTCAGATTGGATTTGGCGCTTTCCAGCAGGACCTTGTTTCTTTGCTTTTCAGGCATGACAGAGAGGTTGTAGCAGCCGACCAGGGTCAGGTCAGAGAGCATGCGCACCTGGCGGTTGTTGGCTAGGTTATAGGGGCAGTCCATGAACTCTTTGAGGGGGCAGCCAGACCAGTCATCGCCAGTGTAGCAGCTGGGCAGCTCCTCTGAGGTCGGGGGCCTTCCATCGCAGACATGCAGGGAGGCCTTCCACGTCGCCCCTCTCTGGACATGCCTCCACTCACTTAGGTAGCGGGACACGGGGTCTCGGAGGATGGTGATGTAGTGGAAGTTCCTGTGGATAAAGCACAAAGACCAACAGTCAGGGATGTGGGGGACCTAGGTGCGATCAGGGAGGTCCACGGCAGATGTGATGGTCGCTGACCAATAGGGGATGATGGGTATCTGTTGAGATGGGTCCCCTCTCTCTGTCCTCCTAGTCAGGTGAGACAGCTACTTAGGCTTTGGGCACAGAGGCCCTGTAGTTCTCCACATCCCCCCACCTCCACCTTGACCCCCTTCTTCTCCCTTTCCAATCAATGGCAAATCTTCCCAATAACCTGACTGGGAACACGGGCTACCATTTAATTTCACCCTCCCCACTTGTGAACTCCTATTGACTGATTATGAAACGGAGACTTGGTGAAAGCAAGTGATTTGCAGCGCTGAGCTGAAGTTAAGTGGGTTCCAAGCCTAATGTTTCTTATTACACATATAAAAGCATTTCCCCCCAATGTCCACTCGAAATGAGATCATTTACGGAAAAAAACAACAACAACCAAAAAAACGAAAGATCAGATGAAAGCGTGCCTGCTAGGAAGCTATTGATGCTGGCTGCGGGCATAACAACATAGCTCATGCGTTACGGCAGGGGAATGTCGGCCTCCAGAAATAAACACTGCGCTCAGTAACTGACCGAAATAGACATACGTGGTAGCTGCCAGGGGCATATATGTAACGTACTACCTTGGTTTTCAGCCTTCCCTCACAGGAGAAGAATCCCAGCACAGGAAAGTTAGCTCTATCGGCTCCACAGTGCACCTTTTCTTTACCCAGGGAAAGCACAGATGTTGTTGGCAAATGGGGCGGCCTGGCTGGGCAGCGATCTTTTCTTTGGAGCTGCAAAGTGATAAACTGCTGCGTACCAAACAGCAGACTAGCAAACTCCTCAACGACATGCACGCAGACCCGGAACCACTGGGACCGGCGGTATGGTCAGGCGCATTCAAGGGGAGCAACAAGTCTGGAGTTGTGTCTTTCAAAAAGAAATTCATCTCCATTCACGTGCATGGGGGGAAAGATGAAGCCCCGAAGAGCACACCGGGGGGGAAAAGCCACAATCACCACCTTTCGCTTCCTCTGCAAAGGACTCTGGAGGCTTTTCGGAATTGCATTCATTGCCATTGTCGCCCCATCACTCAGCATGAGAGTTACGCGGAAGTCCTGACCACTGGTGCTTGTGAACATGAGCTTGCTTGGAAATAGGGCCTTGGAGGAAGTTCAGTTAGGTTCCTGTGTGGGTACTATGCCGATATAGTGTCATTCTCAAAGAAGAGAAGGGCCACAGAGACAGGGACAGGATGCTATGTGAACTGTAGCTGTAAGCCAAAGGGGCGTGGGGCAGCTTCTCCATTGGAGTCTCAGAAGGAATCAATGTGGCTGACATACTGATTTCACACCTGTAGCCACAGATCTACGAGGCAATAATTTCGGCTCCTTCAAGTCACCGGCTTTGTGGGATTTTGTTTCAGCAGCCCCCAACACCTAAGCCACCATCTGAAGGGGGACAGGGAGGCACCCTAGTTGGCCCTGAGCTGAGACTGGTGGCGAATGTCTTCTGAAGAAACATTTCTCCCAAGTCTCGGGCTTCCAGGAACTCCAGCATGCTGGGACACACGTGCCTCTAGTCTATGCTGATGTTTCCTCGGGCTGGCATGGCCTTCCCTTTTCTTTGACACAGTTTACTCCTCATTGGAATTCCGCTTCAAGTACCACCTTTGCTTTAAACAGTTTGCCTATGTCATCACTTCTTCCTTCGTGTCGCCCAGCACTGGCACACTTTTGATAGTGAATTGCAATCATTTGTTTGTATTTTCTCTTAAACTCTAGAGCAGTGGTTCTCAACCTTCCTAATGCTGCAACACTTTAATACAGTTCCCATGTTGTGGTGACCCAAACCATTAAATTATTTGTGTTGCTACTTCATCACTGTAATGGGTCGTCAATCGACCCCCAAAGGGGTCGCGACCCACAGGTTGAGAATCGCTGCTCTAGAGCCTCCAACACAGGGCTCTGTCCATTTCTTCTAGAACTCTCATCCTGACCACTCCAGCTTTGCACCTTACATAGAGGGCAACCTCACTCTCTCCTTTAACTGCTTCTTTAACGAGCTGTCCTGGGTAACTGGAAAAAGGGAGTTGGGGACTAGGAAGCCCATTCCCCATTACATAAAGCTACATACGCTTACAAATACTTTGAAAAAGAAAAAATCACACTCAGTTTCATTATTGTTATTATTATGGCTTCATACATTTTTCTGGAATAAACAAGCATTGGGAACAATAAAAAGATCAGGAAGGATGGAAGGAAGGAAGCAAGCAAGCAAGCAGTTCCAAGGTTACTTTCCCTTATCTTGGTCCTTCTCCTGGGACTTGCTTGACCTTGCTGATTTCACTAGCTTTCATCTCTGTTCAAACCCTTTGTCCAAAGGGAGCAACGTTTCTTCCCTGATAGGCTTTAGCAACAAAGTTAACTATTAGGCCAATGGACTCCCTCCTTCCACTCCTTGTTTTGGTATTCATTCATTCATTCATTACATATTGATTAGGCTTTATACTAGGCCCAAGGTAATACTTTAGAGGCAATTAGTCTGATTATTTAGGAAGAAAAAGTTATTAAGTCTAGTGCCACATCGGTATTAATCTTGCAACCACGGTTCCCAGGCATGCACCTTAATGAGGGCTGCTGACCCCTTTAAATCACCTTCACGCAAAACTGAGGGGCCTCACCTAATGCCTCCTCCTGGCTTGAGCCGACAGTGACATCTTCTGGTAACTCTTAGAGTGCACCAGATTATACTAAGTCTAAGACATTTCTTCTATGAAACCCATCCCTGTCTTTCAGATCAGACAGATCCCAGCCAACATGACCAGGGCCAAAATCTGTGTTTTATAAGCACCACTCTCATAAGGAGAGAAAGAGAGAGAGAAAAGAGAGAGAAGCAGACCATCACAGAGTCTCCGGGTTCTAGGATGCGGGAATTAGTACACCTTCAAACTTCAACCTTCAACCTACAGGGCTCCAAGGACTCCCATCAGGAGGTGGACAGCCTCAGTCCCTGCACTGTAGGAATTATCAGTGCAACCAAGAAATGGAAGGGGCTTGCACACACATACTCCTGGGTGACACAAATAATTTGCAGTCGATTAAGGGCTGGAGATTCAAGTTTACTTAGTGGTGCCACAGAGGAAAGGCCTCGTGATCTGCTTCCTTAAAGATGACAGAAACAACAACAACAACAAAGAAAAACAAACACTCTAGGGCACAATTCTACTCTCACACATGGGTTTGCTGCAAGTTGTGTGCACACATGTCCTCACATACATGTGTGTGCACACACGTCCCGTATACCCACAACCCTAATTGTCCTAGATATTAAGAGAACAGCTGCTCTGAGGGCTCAGTAATCGCCTTCTTCTCCCAGGGAATAGAGACTTAGGGTGCCGCGCTGCCTTCAACAGACGTTCCCGATGCTGCGTGAGAACAAATGATCCCTTGGGTCCAATGGGCCAAGCCCAGAAAGGTTCAGAGAGGCAGAGAGATGGGAACGGGAAGCAGTGGGAGGGAGTGGGAGACAAGGGCAGAGACAGATACAGTGAGAGAATTGCAATCAAGGAGATAAAACAAAATCTGTACTACTGAATGGGAAACCGACAATTTACCCTGTACCCCTTTTGGCAGCCCACAGTACAGATGTTGCAAAAAGAAAGGAAGAAAAAATCTCATGAGCGAAAAGGTAGAGCTGGTCAAGGAGCAGACTCCGGAAGTGCCCAGTGGCCCCTGAACCTGTGCTGGGCCTCGGCAGTGGGAGGACAAAGAATCCAAGATGTCCATCATTCTGAGGGGACAGTTGGAAGGAACCGATCAGAGACACTGTCTTCCCACCCAAGACAACTGAGGATGTGAAAGCCCACCCTGATAGGAATGTGCCTGGTGGTCCTCTGCCGCAGGTGGTCAGTGACGTCAGTTCCATGCCAGGCTGGCTTGCATGCTCAATGTATAGTGTGTGCCAGGCACCGAGCAAAAAACAGGGGATTGTGAAAGGAGTATTTCCTTATGCTCACTGCCATTAGGCAGAGCCTAGAGGACAGGGTCGAGCTGGCCCTTTGGTTTTCCAAGCATTGAAATCTTTGTGGAAGTAGACAGCCTCATTTTTCTGCCATGGAGTGGCTGGTAGGATCTGATCGCTGACCTGGTCGCTCAGCGTGCAACCCTCACCAGCACAGAGCGTCTCATTGTTAAATAGAACATGGCCACGGCAGTGTGGTGGCGTAGTGGGTCAGCAATTTAAACCCACCAGCCGCTGGGCGGGAGAAAGACGAGGCTTTCTACCCCCATAGAGATTTACAGCCTTGGAAACCCACGGGAGCAGTTCTCCTCCATCCAGGGCTGGAATCAACTCAACAGCAGTGGGGCCTGTGATCTGATTGATTCCCTGCCTAAAGGACGGGTAGGGTCCCTGGGCTCTATCTTGAAAAATAAGTAGGAGACAAGAGGACAGGAATGGAATCTGAGGGAGGAGGACGAGCCTGAGCATGGGGGCATGGGGACAACTACTGCCTGTGTGGAGGTGGGGAGGCAGGTAGCACACCGCCAGAGACTGGCTGAGGGCTAATGGAGCAGCGGCAGGGTTTGAGGGGCGGGCAACCAGAGCCTGGTCATAGAAGGACCCCTCTGCTCTATTGAAGGATGCACAGTTGATTCCCTAGGCAACGGGGGACGTAAGCAGGGAGGGGGATGATGAGATCCGCACCCTGGAAAGATCACTGTATGGCATGGGGTGCTGCCGTGAGAAAGAAGGGTCCAGAGGCGATTGAAGCAGGTGAGACGGGAGAGGAGGACGGGCAGGGAAGAGAAATGGTTTTTTAGGAACTTGTCATTGAGTCCATGTGAGCTCCTGACGATTCCTGTCTGTCGGAGTAGAGTTGTGCTTCTGAGGGCTAGCTTTCTTTTCTTTTCTTTTGTTGTTGAGCTTGTAGTCAGCAAAACAGACATCGCCTCAGCAGTTGTGACATG